CAGGCAGGAAATGTCTGGACAGGTTCGAAGGTCTGCCTGGGAAGTCCGTTCTGGCCAGAGCCTGATGCTAAGGTGGCATGAGGTGAGGGTGGAGTGGCAGCTGGAGGTCAGGGCAAGGGCCATCTGGTAAGCTTATTTCCGTTCCTGGAAACCACCAAGCTCTTGCCTCAGTTTTGGACCCATGCAGAGTTCTCTGCCTGGAATGTTCTGCCCTTGTTCCTCCTTCAGGCCTCAACTGAAACGTCACGTCCTTTCTAAGTAGTTCTCTTTTTGTTCTCCATATCCGCACTGTCCCCCACCCTTTATTTTATTTTATTTTATTTTTGAGACAGAGTCTTGCTCTGTCACCCAGGCTGGAGTGCAATGGCACAATATAGGCTCACTGCAACCTCTGCCTCCCAAGTTCAAGCGATTCTCCTGTCTCAGCCTCCCGAGTAACTGGGATTACAGGTTCCCGCCACCACGCCCGGCTAATTTTTTGTATTTTAGTAGACACAGGGTTTCACCATGTTGCCCAGGCTGGTGTCCAACTCCTGAGCTCAGGCAATCCACCCGCCTCGGCCTCCCAAAGTGCTAGGATTACAGGCGTGAGCCACCGCAGCCGGCCCAATCAGCACTCCTTTTTATTTGTATAACAACGGTGTTTGTTTAAATTGCTTTTGTCTGTCTACCCCAAGAGATGTAAGTTCTCTGAGGGCAGGGCCCCCTTGCTGGGTGTTCGCCCTATAGCTCCTGTGCTTAGCCGTGTGCCTTACATGCTCAGAAATATTTGTTGGACAGATGTGAGAAAGAACAGAGCTGGGTCTGAGATCCTGGCACCATTCCTTAATAGCTGTGTGACCTTGCACAAGTCATATAACCACCCTGTAGTCAGTTTCCTAGTCTGTAACATGGGATTTTACTTTCTCTGGCAAAGTGCTTGTGTGAGACTCAAATGAGGCAGTACACGTGGAAGCACCTAGCAGAGTACCTGGCTCCAAAGAAGGTGCTCCAAGTATTGTCCTCCTTGTATCTCACTCCCTTTTTTTTTTTTTCTGAGACAAGGTCTCACCCCATCATCCAGGCTGGAACGTCAGTGGCACAATCTCTGCTCATGCAACCTCTGCCTCCTGGGCTCAAGCGATCCTTCCACTTCAGCCTCCCAAGTAGCTACGACTACAGGCAAGCATGCACCATGCCTGGCTAATTTTTTTTTTTTTTTTTGTCTGTAGAGACAGAGTTTCACTATGTTGCCCAGCCTGGTCTCAAACTCCTGGGCTCAAGCATCCGTCTGCCCCCCAAAGTGTTGGGATTACAAGCATGAGCCACCGCACCTGGCCTATTGTGCTCTTTTTACTACACTATTAGATATGATGAGCTGGACCTTGCTTAGTCCCAGCTGAGTTCTTGCTTCCCATCCTCCTCCCTGCCTGCTGCTTCCCTGAGTCATGCCCACTGCAGCGTAAACAACAGGGCAGTTAGTTCCTAGCAGCTTGCAATGACAGTAATAGTGGAAAGAACAAGAGGGAAGGGAGCAACTGTTTTGTTTTGTTTGACATGGTGTCTTGCTATGTTGTCTAGGCTGGTCTCAAACTCTGAGGGTCAAGTGATCCTTCTGCCTCAGTCCCCTGAGTAGCTGAGACTACAGGCGTGCACCACCATGTCTGGCTAATTGTTTTGTGTTTTATTTTTTTAGAGACGGGGGTCTCGCTGTGTTGCCCAGACTGGTCTTGAACTCCTGGGCTCACTCGATCCTCCCACCTCAGCCTCCCAAATGCTTGGATTACAGGCATGAGCCAGTGTGCATGTCCTTACATTGTATTTTCAGAATTTTAAATTATTAAGACAATAAGTGCCCTTTAAAAATTCAAACAAACACATAAAAGTATAAAGCAAATAAACTTCCCACTAAGCTACCTCACCCTCCCAGAGGCTACTTACCACTGTCAACTGTTTGAGGTGTATCCTTCTAGATCTTCTGTTCAAATACACATGTATAACTGGGTCATACCAAACATTTTCTGCAACTTTTTTGTTTTGTTTTTATTTTTATTTATTGCTTATTTATTTTTTTGAGACAGAGCCTTGCTCTTGTTGCCCAGGCTGGAGTGCAGTGGCACGATCTCAGCTCACTGCAACCTCCACCTCCCGGGTTCAAGTGATTCTCCTGCCTCAGCCTCCCAAGTAGCTGGGATTACAGGTGCACACCACCACGCCCAGCTAATTTTTGTATTTTTAGTAGAGACAGGGTTTCATGATGTTGGCCAGGCTGGTCTCAAACTCCTGACCTCAGGAGATCCACCCACCTCGGCCTCCCAAAGTGCTGGGATTACAGGTGCGAGCCACCACAGCCAGCCAGTTTTGTTTTGTTTTTAATTAACACTGTTATCCAAGGACACTTTTCCAAATGAACAGTCAGATCTAACACATCCTTTTAAATGATGGCTACTATTTTATTCTCTGGGTGACCCCAATATTATATTTCTATATTTTCCAGACTTTTGATGAGCACATAATTTTTTTTTTTTTTTTTTGAGACTGAGTCTAACTCTGTCACCCAAGCTGGAGTGCAGTGGCACAATCTCAGCTCACTGCAACCTCCACCTCCCGGGTTCAAGTGATTCTCCTGCCTCAGCCTCCCAAGTAGCTGGGATTACAGGTGCACACCACCACGCCCAGCCCTGGCTAATTTTTTGTATTTTTAGTAGAGATGGGGTTTCACCGTGTTAGCCAGGATGGTCTCCATCTCCTGACCTCGTCATCCGCCCGCCTTGGCCTCCCAAAGTGCCGGGATTATAGGTGTGAGACACCACACCCGACCTAAATTATTTTAAAATATAGGGCGTTTTACCATGAAAATTTTTATTTAAAATCTCATTGATAGAAAAATATTCAAATTTTATCAGAAAAATAAAATTTTTATAATATAAATTTATGTATATTTATCACTAGAAACAGATTATCTAAAGTTTTAAGTCAAAATAAGCCAGAGAAGACAAAGTCATATTTCATTTTATTTTTTACTTTTTTGTTTTAATTTTTTTGAGACAGAGTCTCACTCGGTCGCCCAGGCTGGAATGCAGTGGCAGAATCTAAGCTCACTGCAACCTCCCGCTCCTGGGTTCAGGCGATTCTCCTGCCTCAGCCTCCTGAGTAGCTGGGATTACAGACTCGCACCACCACACCCAGCTAATTTTTGTATTTTTAGTAGAGACAGGGTTTTACCATGTTAGTCAGGCTGGTCTCGAACTCCTGAGCTCAAGCAATCTGCCAGCCTTGGCCTCCAAAGTGCTGGGATTACAGGTGAGAGGCACCACGTCTGACCATGCAATGTTTTTTTTCTACATAAAATAATGGTGTGTTTTTACAATGAGTAGCACCTGATAGTCAATACAATCAATGGCAGTTCTGTTTCTCTTCTTTTATTCCGTTTTAAAATACAACTGGCTGGGCGCGGTGGCTCACGCCTATAATCCAAGTACTTCGGGAGGCCGAGGTGGGCAGATCGCCTGAGGTCAGGAGTTCGAGACCAGCCTGACCAACATGGTGAAACCCCTGTCTGTACTAAAACACAAAAATCAGCTGGGTGTGGTGTTCTATGCCTGTTGTCCCAGCTACTCAGGAGGCTGAGGCAAGAGAATTGCTTAAACTTAGGAGGCGGAGGTGGTAGTGAGCCAAGATCATGCTACAGTACTCCAGCCTGAGTGACAAAGTGAAACTCTGTCTCCAAAAAAAGAAAGAAAGAAAGAAAAACAAAAACAAAAATAAAAAACACTGTCAATTAATTGAAAGATGCCATCAATTTTAGAATTTTAAAAATGTGTAAAATAGGAGTGTCTCAGTCCATTAGTGTTGACACTAATTTACAAAGCACAAGAAATTTATCTCTGGGCAGGCGTGGTGGCTCACACCTGTAACCCCAGCACCTTGGGAGGCTGAGGCGGGAGAAGTGTTTGAGGCCAGGAGTTCCAGACCAGCATGGGCAACATAGCAAAACCCCTTTCCTACAAAAAATACAAAAATTAGCTAGGTGTGGTGTCACACACATACCTGTAGTCCCAGCTACTCAGGAGGCTGAGGTGGGAAGATTGCTTGAGTCCAGGAGGTTGAGGCTGCAGTGAGCTGTGATTGCACCACTGCACTCTAGCCTAAGTGACAGAGCAAGACCTTGTCTATAAAAAGCAAAAAACAAAGAAAAGAGGAGAAAAAAGGAAAATAAGTGTATTTCTCACAGTTCTAGAGGATGTTCACAATCAAGGCACCAGCAGGTTTAGTGTCTGATGCCTGGTTATCTGCTTCCAAGATGGCACCTTGAAAGCTGTTATCTCATATGGCAAAAGGGATGGAAAGACAAAAAGGGCAAGATTAAGCGCTTTCTCCAAACTTGAGCCCCTTTTTACAGAATTATTATTTTTGTGTGTGTGAGACAGGGTCTCACTTTGTCACCCAGGCAGGAGTGCAGTGGCACAATCACTGGCTCACTTCAACCTTGACCTCCCTGGGCAACCTGGAGCCCCTTTCTAAACGTGCTAATCCCATTCCACCCTGAGTTAATCACCTTCCATAGGCCACACCCCTGCACTGGGGATTAAGATTCAACATGAGGCCGGGCATGGTGGCTCACCCCTGTAATCTCAGCACTTTGGGAGGCCGAGGCGGGCGGATCACCTGAGGTTAGGAGTTCAAGACCAGCCTGACCAACATGGAGAAACCCCATCTCTACTAAAAATGCAAAACTAGCTGGGCATAGTGGTGCATACCTGTAATCCCAGCTACTGGGGGGCTGAGGCAGGAGGATCGCTTGACCCCGGGAGGCAGAAGTTGCAGTGAACCGAGATCACGCCACTGCACTCCAGCCTGGGCAACAAAAGTGAAACTCCATCTAAAAAAAAAAAAAGATTCAACATGAACTTCAGAGGGAACATCATCACTCTAACCATGGCAAGGAGTCTTGGAATTGATGAAATAGAACAGTCCCTTCTTGTCCCTTTATTAACCAGAATTTTTGTGTTATCTTCCAGGAACCACCAGGACCAGCTGATCATTCTAGCCCACAGCAATGGAGCCACATGACTCCTCCCACGTGGACTCTGAGTTCCGATACACCCTCTTCCCGATCGTTTACAGCATCATCTTTGTGCTTGGGGTCATTGCTAATGGCTACGTGCTGTGGGTCTTTGCCCGCCTGTACCCTTCCAAGAAATTCAATGAGATAAAGATCTTCATGGTGAACCTCACCATGGCGGACATGCTCTTCTTGATCACCCTGCCACTGTGGATTGTGTACTACCAAAACGGGGGCAACTGGATACTCCCCAAATTCCTGTGCAACCTGGCTGGCTGCCTCTTCTTTATCAACACCTACTGCTCTGTGGCCTTCCTGGGCGTCATCACTTATAACCGCTTCCAGGCAGTAACTCGCCCCATCAAGACTGCTCAAGCCAACACCCGCAAGCGTGGCATCTCTTTGTCTCTGGTCATCTGGGTGGCCATTGTGGGCGCTGCATCCTACTTCCTCATCCTGGACTCCACCAACACAGTGCCCAACAGTGCTGGCTCAGGAAACATCACCCGCTGCTTTGAGCATTACGAGAAGGGCAGCGTGCCAGTCCTCATCATCCACATCTTCATTGTGTTCAGTTTCTTCCTGGTCTTCCTCATCATCCTCTTCTGCAACCTGGTCATCATCCGTACCTTGCTCATGCAGCCGGTGCAGCAGCAGCACAACGCTGAAGTCAAGCGCCGGGCACTGTGGATGGTGTGTACGGTCTTGGCGGTGTTCATCATCTGCTTCGTGCCACACCACATGGTGCAGCTGCCCTGGACCCTTGCTGAGCTGGGCTTCCAGAACAGCAAATTCCACCAGGCTATTAACGATGCACATCAGGTCACCCTCTGCCTCCTTAGCACCAACTGTGTCTTAGACCCTGTTATCTACTGTTTCCTCACCAAGAAGTTCCGCAAGCACCTCACTGAAAAGTTCTACAGCATGCGCAGTAGCCGGAAATGCTCCCGGGCCACCACGGATACGGTCACTGAAGTGGTTGTGCCATTCAACCAGATCCCTGTCAATTCCCTCAAAAATTAGTCCCTGCTTGTTGGTGCCAGGCCTGAAGTCTTCTCCTCCATGGACATCATGGACTGAGCTGGGGGAAGAAGGGATATCCGCTGTGGTCTGGGCACCACCTCCGTGGGCACTGGTGGACCATTAGATTTGGAGGCTACCTCACCTGGGTAGGGATGATGGCAGAGCCAGGCTGTTGGAAAATCCAGAACTCAGAGTCCCTTCATCTGCCTGTGGGTGCATGCTACAGTAACTGTGACTGATGACCTCATCCTGAGTCCCTTAATCTTATAGGGCTGGAAGGAATGTCAGGGCCAGGTGCAGACCTTGGGGGAAGACTTTAAACCACCTAGTTCTCCCCGATGGGGTGTCGGTCTAAAGCTTTGGGGGGCCAGGCGCAGTGGCTCACACCTGTAATCCCAGCACTTTGGGAGGCCGAGGTGGGCAGATCATGAGGTCGAGAGATCGAGACCATCCTGGCCAGCATTGTAAAACCCCATCTCTACTAAAAAATACAAAAATTAGCTGGGCTTGGTGGCTCAGGAGGCTGAGGCAGGAGAATCGCTTGAACCTGGGAGGCAGAGGTTGCAGTGAGCCTAGATTTCACCATTGCACTCTAGCCTGGCAACAGAGCGAGATTCCGTCTCAAAAAAATAAAATAAAATAAAATAAATAAATAAATAAATAAATACAAGCTTTGGACAAATACTCTCCAGTGATACAGGCAGAAAGGGTTGGGAAAGGGACACTGCCCTCACAGTGTGGCACTACCTTGGGGCAGACTTTTGAGCTAGGACGGTGCCATCCTCTCTCCACCCTCAGGCAAAAGGTCTTTGTGACCTTTCTCAGGGGAAGTGGCTTGATGGAACCTTCTCTGACTCCTCCGGCAACCTGTCCCTAATGGTGACTAAAGAAGGTAACACATGAACAGACCAAAAGCTAGGACAAGAGCTTGCTTCCCAAGACAGATGCGTCTGTCTGCAAAGGCCTTGCCTCTAGCCTGGTCAGCTCTGGGGGAGCGGGAGAGAGATGCCCACCTCCTCCATCTTTCTGTCTCAACAACAGTCTCTAATTAAGTACCTTCTGTGGGGCAGCCACCCACTGAGGATGGGCAAAGGCCCCTTGAAAGCAAAATTGGGGCTGGGCGCAGTGGCTCATGCTGGTAATCCCAGCACTTTGGGACGCCAAGGCAAGCAGATCACCTGAGGTCCGGAGTTCAAGATCAGCCTGGCCAACATGGTGAAACCCCATCTCCACTAAGAATACAAAAAAATTAGCCCGGCGTGGTGGTGCATGCCTGTAGTCCCATAGCCTGTAGCTACTAGGAGGAGGCAGAGGTTGCAGTGAGTCGAGATTGTGCCACCGCTCTCCAGCCTGAGTGACAGAGTGAGACTCTGTCTCAAAAAAAAAAAAAAAAAAAAGCCAAAATTAGAGCTGTGCAGGCCAGGACACCTCGATGTCCAGGGGCTTCCATATGAACAGGCACATGGGCTGGGAAGTGCATGAGGCCCCTGGGTAGAAGGGTCTGTCAGTTCTCCCCTCCCTTGCCCTCTGGGAGGCTCCTCCTAACATAGCTTCCAGGAGGTGGGAGGAGCAGTTACTGTCAGCAGGTGTCAGCCAGGTGTCAACTTCTCTTGAAGATCTCTAGATGTCTGCTTGTGATTTTTGGCAAGTTTATGCAAATGAGCCTCCTCTCCTGCCCTGAGACAAGTATCCGCAGTGTGAACCTGGCAGCCTCGGACCCAAGGGGCTCAGAGGAAACTTCTCTGGTTTCTAGAGCTCTGTGCTCCTGTAGAGAAGTCTTCCTTCCTTACAGTCAGTGTCCCTGTGGAGCTGGGACACTCATTTCCTGTGTACCGGGCAATCATCGGATTGCTGATTTTGAGAAATGCCTCCCGATGGATCAGGAACCTGCTGGAGTCTGGGATGGTAGCTGTGGGCTAGACTTGGCTGGTGGTATGACCGGGCGACTAGTGCAGCATCACACAGGCCTGGGTCAAGTCTTGGCTGTGTCATTTCCTGCTGAGGGACCAGGCACTGAATTTCCTACCTCTTAGGGTCGTTACCTATGAGGTTAAAGCTACCTCATGGGATTGTTGTACGCGGCTAATGTTGGGGCAGACCCCTCTTGGTCAGGGTGACTGCTCATCTTAGACCCTCCCCTTTTCTGCGAATTTGGGCCCCTTGATCCTCTGATGGGAGCTGAAAGGATGAGAGGTGGGCATCTAGATTCAGGGAGGCTGTTCAGGCTTTGCAGGTCCCTTCCCTGAACACATATAAACCCTGGAGCTGTGACTGTGTCGGTGTGTGTGTGTGTGTTTGTGTGTATCGGGGGGATGGGCACCTGCATGAATGTGGTAGAGAAAATGGCTCTGCTCAGAGAGAAGATACGCATAGCAAGGCAGGGACCAGAGGAATCACAGGCACCCGGAGAGCAGCCGGGCACCGCCTCCAGGGACCTGCTGGCTTCCCTCAGTCCTCCAGGGGCCTAGCACTCTTTCCTGTGGGCCCTGTGAGCATCCCTTGTCAGGATACATTCTCTCATTTTGCCGAAGCTGATTTGATTGGGTGTCTATTTCTCATAGTCAAAAGAGCTCTGAATGAGGGAAGTGCTTCTGTGTTAACTCCCCGTGTCTCCTGAATTTCAGTCATTCGTGTACCCGCCTTGAAATTTTTGCAATATCCATGTACCAACTGTCTGTTTACTTAATAAATACTTTTTCTTTAAATCAAGTCACTTTTAAAAACTTACATTTATTTGAAAGAAAACATTATAACATAATTGTAAATGAAAACTAACACTACCTGCCAGAAATAGAAGGTAGACATAAACATAAAACCGTAACTATAAAAATGTTTCTCACCCGGGTGCGGTGACTCACACCCGTAATCCCAACATTTTGGGAGGCTGAGGAGGGTGGATTGCTTGAGCCCAGGAGTTCGAGACCAGCCTGAGAAACATGGCAAAATGCCTCTACAAAAAATTTGTGGTTGTGGTGGCTCCCACCTGTAATCCCAGCACTTTGGGAGGCCAAGGAGGGCAGATTACCTGAGGTCATGCGTTCAAGACCAGTCTGGTCAACATAGCGAAACCCTGTCTCTACTAAAAATACAAAATTAGCTGGTTGTGATGGTGGGTGCCTGTAATCCCAGCTACTTGGGAGGCTGAGGCAGGAGAATTGCATGAACCTGGGAGTCGGAGGTTGCAGTGAGCTGAGATTGCACCACTGCACTCCAGCCTGGGTGACAAAGCAAGACTCTGCCTAAAAAAAAAAATTAAAAAAAAAAAAAAAATTAAAAAAAATTAGCCAGGCATGGTGGTGTGTGTCTACAAGGGGAACTTTACATCATTTACTCCTCCCAAATACCTATGGGTAGAACTGCCTCTTCCCTCTGCCTGAGATGGGTCTTGATGGGAGTATACTGACCTTCTTGTAAAGCACCTGGTTTTTGTGTTTTTCTGTGTTCTATCTAAAGTTACTTGACATGTCTCAGTGACTTGTGTAGCACACTTCAGGAAACTCTACTGTGATGGGTATAAAGTGCACAGGGTCTCAATAAAGAATAACTCTGGGCCATGCCTGTAATCCCAGCACTTTGAGAGGCCGAGGCAGGAGGATCACTTGAGCTCAGGAGTTTGAGACCAGCCTGGGCAACGTAGCGAGACTCTGTCTCTAATTGGAAAAAAAACAAGAGTAACTGACAGTTCTGAGACAGTGACTTGTGATTACCTCCTTCCTTCTTCCAGGATGTCGCCCCAACACATAGACCATGCTCTCATGGGGATCAGGGGGGTGGGAGGAGTATATTAGGTTGTAGCACATGCTCCAGCCTTGTTGATCTCCTCACCACCCGAATACAGCCAGCATTACTCCTCCTGTATCCTTTATCTCTTCTCTTGTTTTCTAAACTTTTTTTTCTGGAGGTGGGGTCTTGCTGTATTGCCCAGGCTGTCATGCAATGGCTATTTACTGGCACGCCTATTGCACACTACAGGGTCAAACTTCTGGCTTTAAGGGATCCTCTTACATGAGCCTCCCCAGGAGCTGGGACTACAGGAGTGGGTCACTGTATCCAGCCCTTCTCTTTTTTTAAATTTTGTTTTGTCTCATTATTTTTTTTGAGATGGAGTCTCGTTCTGTTGCCCAGGCTGGAGTGCAGTGGCGCGATCTCAGCTCACTGCAAGCTCTGCCTCCTGAGTTCACGCCATTCTTCTGCCTCAGCCTCCTGAGTAGCTGGGCTTACAGGCGCCTGCCACCACGGCTGGCTAATTTTTTTGTATTTTTAGTAGAGACGGGGTTTCACTGCCTGGCCAAATTTTTTTTTTTTTTTTTTGGTCAGCGTTGACCAGGTTGGCCTCAAACGTGTAGCCTTGCCTGCCCAAGGGTCAGGACAACTAGCCTGAGCCATTGCAGCTCCCCTCTTCTTTTTGACATATCCCAGAATACTCCAATAGGTAGCCTTCTGAATCCAGGCAGTGTTACTGTGACCATTAAGTCATTACTGTGACGTTAAGTCATTTCGATGCCTGTCTTTCCTATTCTGGGGGGCAGGAACCGGATCTTAATAATCTGTCTCCAGTTTCTCACATATAGCCTGGAATTGAGATCTGTCTGTCTCCAAATTGTACAGCTTCCCCAGGGTTTAGCATAAACAGACATGTTGACATATACATGCAAATATTTTGAAAGGTTTTGAGGAGACCCTATAGAGACAGATGGAAAAGAAATGTAATACATGTTCTTCCAAAGTTCTAGGTCCATATTCTAAAGGAAGATGTAGGGAGTTTTCAGAGAATCAGTACATTTTGGAGCTGGGAGGGTTCAACCCCTTCGTCTTACTAAGGACATCATGGGGCTCAGAAGGGCTAACTGATTGCCGAAGTTACACAGGGTGGAGCTGCGGCGGATGCAGGGCTGGCTGTTCACCTGCATCTCTCCGCTCTTGCAACGGTGACAGGGATTATGGGAAAAGTTGAGTTGTAACTCTTTTGATGAAACATCACTGATTAGAGTTTCCAAGGCATCCCGTGTATCAGGAAAGCCTCACCTTGCATTTGCCCTGATCTCAGCTTTCGCCTCAGGGAACCACCAGTGATCTCAGCTGGAGAATGCTGGCTTATGTAAGATCTGGCCTCATTGAGATGAGTCATAGACCCAAGAGTGGTAAGTGGAGGTCACAGTTGACTAGACCTGGATATGTTTATCCTGTTTTTACTCATCTGTGTTATATCTGTGCTCAAGACCTAAGGCCACAAAGAGATATAATAAGACCTTCTTGTAAAGCACCTGGTTTTTGTGTAGACTTGGTATTTCTGTATAAGAAATCCTGTTCCCTTTGATATCCTGCCAGCAAGCCATCCTCCCACATACCCATCCGTCTATCCACCTATCCATCCCTCCATCCCACCATCCTTCTATCGATCGATCTATCCATCCATCCATTCATCCCTCCCTCCCTCCATCCCTCCCTCCATCCCTCCCTCCCTCCATCCCTTTAGGTACCCAGCAAACACCTATGGGAGTGCCTATTTTGGTCCAGTAACTATGCTAAGCACAATTTTGATCTGTTATCTCACTAAAACCTCATACTCTCCCTGAAACATGGGTGGTTTTATCCCCACAGAAATGAATAAAACAAGTGTTACAGCTCTTTTAGAATTTGTCTAGCAGGCTTTTCAGTTTTTGCCAGAAAGCCCATTACAAAAGAAGGAAAAAAAAGAAATGAATAAAGTAAATAAGGACCCAAGCTGACTGAATAAGATGTAGTGGCTGCCTCTCAGGTCCTTGGTATAGAAGGAAGAGGGACCCAGCTATTAGCTTGCCACTTTCACCTATCTTATGTCATTGAGTCCTCACAACCACCCCACAGAATAGAACATTTCATGCCCATTTTACAGATAGGGAAATCGAGACTCAGAAGGGTTCAGAGATTTATAAAGGTAAAAGAGCTACTAAGTGGCATAATAATATTCAAAGCCGGATCTGCCTTAGTAAGCACGGGTCCCTTTCCTTCTCTCCTCCCTCTCCACCATGTGGCTGTACCCTCGCCCAAGCCCCTTTCTCTAGGCACAGTCTCCTAAGCGCTGGGACAGGACTGTCATAGGGGAATGAGCCAAGAGGCCTCCAGTGGAACGTGAGGGCCTCCACCTTGCTGTTTCTGGCTTCCTCTTTGAGGCCTCTGTGCTCGCCATGCATGTTGAAGCCCCAGCAACAATGACTCTTCCCTGGGCTCAGGCCGCTGTGCTCAGCTAGGGAGGGTACTCCTGAGGATGGATGGCATCCATGAACACAGTGTTCCAGAGACCCTCGGAAGCCAGAGTGGTCATTGTCACTGGAGCTAGAAGGTGCTCTTAGATGTCACCTGGATCCTGACAGCTCTGTAAGGGGAGGGACAGAGGTGGCCACTCAACATTTGCTGACCACTTACTACAAGGGGAACTTTACATCATTTACTCCTCCCAAATACCTATGGGTAGAACTGCCTCTTCCCTCTGCCTGAGATGGGTCTTGATGGGAGTATACCTACAGCATCCTTGATATAGCCACACGGCTCACTCCCTTGCTTCCTTCAAGGCTTTGCTCAAACGTCCCTTTCTTGGTGAGGCCTGCTTGACTACCTCACTTAAAAATGGAGGCTTGGGGCCTGGCGCAGTGGCTGACACTTTTAATCCCAGCACTTTGGGTGGCAGAGGTGGGTGGATCACCTGAAGTCGGGAGTTTGAGGCCAGCCTGGCCAACATGACAAAACCCTGTCTTTACTAAAAATAAAAAAATTAGTGGGTGTGGTGGCTGCCTGTAATCCCAGCTACTCAGGAGGCTGAGGAAGGAGAATCACTTGAACCTGGGAGGCGGAGATTGTAGTGAGCTGAGATCGTGCCACTGCACTCCGGCTTGGGCAACAGAGCAAGACTGCGTCTCAAAAAAAAAAAAAAAAAAAAAAGGAGGCTTGGGTAGCAAGTGTGCAGGGTTTCACGGCCCTGTAGCTTCGTTAGACTCAGTATCCTCCTGAAAAAAAAATTAAAAATATAACAACAGTGCTTGCTTCATCAGCTCATAACTAAAACTGGAACAATATAGAGATACAGGTATGGCCCCTGAACAAGGATGACACAGAAATTCAAGAAGCATTCCATATAATTAAAATAAATTTTAAAACATGAAAACCAAATCCCCACCCCCAAAATACAGAGGCTTAGAGAGTAAAGTGATTCCCAAGGTCACACAATGAATGGCTGGCCCAGCTGGGTGCATCCAGCTCCAAAGCTCATTCTGCCACACTGCCTTCCCCTGCGGACATCTTTCATGATACAGAATGTGAAGGTCCCTATCTTCCATCTTCCGGACAAGAAAGACGAGCATCAAGCAGGTGAAATGACTTACATCCAAGGTCACACAGCAATAATCAAGATGCAGAGATCCTTATTTTACCTCTACTGTGCAAGATGCTTCTCATACATTTTTGTCTGAATGCATGTTATTTTCCTTCTTTTTTTTTCTTTTCTTTTTTTTTTGAGATGGATTTTCGCTCTTATTGCCCAGGCTGGAGTACAGTGGAGCAACCTTGGCTCACTGCAACCTCCACCACCCAGGTTCAAGTGATTTTCCTGCCTTAGCCTCTCAAGTAACTGGGATTATAAGCATATACCACCATGCCCAGCTAATTTTGTATTTTTAGTAGAGATGGAATTTCTCCATGTTGGTCAGGCTGGTCTCAAACCCTCGACCTCAGGT